CATGACTGTAGCTTAATCAACAAAGATGTAATTAAAGTGAGTACAGTGAACGTGCTCCTGAAGTGTAATCACTGGAACAATGCCCAGTGAGGTGGAGTCAATGGATCAGTATATGAAGGAGCTCACACACACACATACACTGTCACTGGACATTTTCTGAGAGCAAAAAATTCAATATTTAGCTTTTAATGTGTTTTAAAAGGGTGTTAAACCCATTGTAGACAGTCATGACTCACAGAGTTATTTTCAGAGGATATACTTGATTTCTATTATATTTAAGTGTGAAAAATCACATATAAAGCCTTTAAAAAGTCGCTTTGATTCCACATAAACGTCTTGATTTGAAACTCTTTTTATTTGGCCTGAACCACTGTGCTGCCCTCTAGTGTTTAAACCAGGAACTGTTATTTCATTCAGTTTAAAAAACATCCACACTCTCATTAAAGTAGACAAAGAAACTAGTTTTTATCATGCACATTTTAAGAACAGTTTGATACTTAATGCAGATTTTAAAAAAAGATGATAATCTTACCGAGGAGAGGAGAGAGTGATGAACACGTGTTCATATTTAGCTCTTAACTCCATACTGACATGATTCTGGTTTTTTTCCTCCTTCAGATATCAACCTTGCCAACGAGCCCAAACCTCACAGATCGAAGACAGCCAAGCGAGCTGCAGGAGACATGTACAGGTGTGTGTGCGTTCATGACGTTTGAAACCAAAACATTCAAGCACTCAGACAGACTTTGTGATGCTTCATAATAATGCTGTTGTTAATGTTGCTACCCTGTCTCTGCTCTCTCCTCAGTCCATCTATTGATCTGGAGTATGACTTTCAAAGAGATTACTATGATCGGTAAATATTCTCTTTTTCTCTTTTTTGTATTTTCTTGTGTTTCTGAAGTTCTTACTTATGTGTATTTGTATGTCAGGATGTACTCCTATCAGGCCCGGGTACCTCCCCCCCCTCCTCCCCCTCTGTCCCGAGCCGTCGTCCCCTCGAAGCGCCTGCGGGTCAGTCTAAGCGGAGGGGGCAGCCGACGGACCAAAACCAGCTTCTCCTCCTCAAAGAACAGCCAGAGGACGTCCAGGAACGGTGAGTATCACGGCTCGTGTCACGTTCACACAGCTTCACTCTACTCGCCCCTAAATACTTCTCTCTCCTGCGTTTCCCCCCCACCACAGCAGTGAAGAGCGACGACCTGCAGGCCATAAAGAGAGAGCTGACGCAGATCAAACACAAGGTGGACTACCTGCTGGAGAGCCTGGAGCGCATGGAGAAGGACCACGGCAAGAAGTCAGGTGAGGATCAGTGAGGGGGTTCAAATGCAGATCAGATTTTAGGGGTTTCCTGTAAGACTTTTCTAACAGGGGCAGAAATGAAGAGGAAGAGACTCGAGGGTCACGACTACAGTGTCCGACGAGGGCTGCACATTTTGAAACAAAGTTCCTGATAATACATGAATGGAAGAGGAGGGGGGGAGGAGGAGGAGGAGGGTGAGGAGGAGAGGAGGAGAGGAGGGGGAAGAGGAGGAAGAAGAGGAAGAGGAGGAGGAGGGTGAGGAAGAGGGGGAGCAGGAGGGAGGAGGAGGAGAAAGAGGAGGAGGAGGAGGAAGCGGAGGAGGAAGCGGAGGAGGAGGAGAAAGAGGAGGAGGAGGAGGAGGGTGAAGAGGAGGAGGAAGAGGAGGTCTAATATAAAGACACTTTATTCAGCTTCTGGCTTAATTTACAATACTGAAGTAGAAAAAGTTTCTTCAGTTAAATTTCCCACAATGCACCACAGGAAGTGTTTGACACTCTTCATTTCTTTGCACAAGACCCACATGAAACCCCACACCTCATATTTGTCCCCCCGTCTAGTCTGAACCCCCATCTCAACAGAACTCATGTTTAAGCCGCTGATAACACATTCAAGTCTTCTTATATGTTGTGGTTGCTTAGTTACGATTAAAAAACAAGCAAAAACCGTCCCCACAAATGTCAAATGTATAATTGGACTCATGGCTTTTCACAAGTAGCATGATATTCTCTGTGACTCAAACTGCACTGGGATGAATCGTGACAGGGAAATATGTGATTGTTGGACAGAGAAGTGAGGAGGGTCCAGGTTGAATCAAACCAATAAATGAACCAAAAGACTTCAGATTAGGATTTTTTTTGGTTTTCATTTGGCTCCTGATCAAAACCCCGCCTTTAGTCAGTCCCTGTGTTTCTGTGTGTTCTCATCCGTTGTCTCCGCTCACATCGACTCAGAGATGAAGAGCTGCAAACCAGAACCCGGCGAGCTGTCCTCCCTCAACTCGTCTACCTCCAGCAAGAAAGACGACAGCCTGAAACGAGAAAGAGAGAGCCAGGACTCAGACGAGGAGGGAGATCTGCTGGAGGACGAGGACGAGGTGAGGAGCGGGAGAGGAGTCCAGATAACAGGTTTTTTGTTGAGGGGGAGGGGCTTTTATGACTTTATGAGTAGGAAATGGGAAGAGAGAGAGAGGACTTCAGC